GACGCTCTGAGGCCGTCGCAGTGGTGGCTTTTTAAAAGAGCCAGTGTATTGATGAAGGAAGGAGTGGACGCTGTGGGCTGAGGGAGGCCGGCCGTTCCTCACTATTGGCTCTGCCGGTCCAGAAACCACATATTTACTGATTAAAAAAAAAAAAAAAAAAAATTCGGGCAACGTTTCATCTCTAATCTGGATTTACAGAGTACGATGTTTGAGTTTAATGCTAACTAACAAAGCTAAAGATATCCCGGAACAGAAAACTGGGATTCTTTCTTTTACAGGAGGCGGTGACAGATTTATTACAGTAGCTGCATGTACATATACTGCATATGCATACAGTGTAAAACAGGTGACAGTGCAGAACTGTATGCCGACACAGCGACTAAAAGCACGAAAGAATAGCTGCTGAATCAATAGACACACCGGGCTGCATATGATAATTACTGGTGTTAGCTAAGTGGGTTTAACTCCCGGTGTATTAAAGCATATGTCTGCATGTCATAATGTTACATTATATATATAATGTTACATTATATATTACGTTATGATGTAACACAGATCACATCATGACTACAGCCAACAAAGGGAATTTGAGCTGACTTTATGTAATATCACTCAGATTGAATTGACCTTTTTTGTCACATTTAAAAGAAACAGCATGAGACAAAAATACAGAAAAAAAAAAATGAAAAAAATTTAAGCAAAGCTCAACATGCCGACCAGTAAACAACACCGATCCGGTCGAAAAGGCCGAGAGTTTAGTTCTAATAATGTGGTTGAAAATATCCACACCAGCAGCCAGTTGGACGTCATTCCCGGAGCCCGGAGATACTTCCTCCGTGTTCTCGCCTTGGAAAAATTGAGCCTTACAATGGCTCCTTCCAGCTCCCCCCTGTGTTATGGCTCATCTCCAGGTAGTTCCTCAACACTAGTGCGGCTGTCATGTTAGCAATATTTATACTTTATTTCTATATACAAACGTCTTTTTTTTTTTTTTTTTCGAGCTTCGAGGGACAATCTCAACAATCAGAGAATGGGATGATCTCGTCTCCACGGTAACCTCTAACCATGAGTCAGAGCATTTCTGTGAATTCAATCCTATTAATTAAATCAAACGAAAAAAATGTTCAAAAGTGACGCACAGCCGTGTCAAGTCTGACTCAGAGGACGGGGGAAAGTACAAAAGATAGAAGTTATAAGATACAATATTTGGTTTGTTTCACACTGCGACTCATCGCTAACACCACGCCTTTTTAGGCTACGTCGTCAGGAGGTTGTTAGGTCATGTCTTTTCACTACAGTACGGACCCCAAACACACACACACAACCACGGTCAAAAAGAATGATGTCCAGCGACAAGAAGAACAAAGAGCGTAGCAACAAACCATCCGGCCTCTATAGAGACCACGCCGTAATGTGAAAGTACACACATAGTACGCATTCAGTACCTCGACGCAACCATCCATTGCGTTACTAACAACGGCTTTCTGTAAAAGATGCTGCACAGCAAAGAATGCACTGCACACCAAAAATGTCCAAACCCCACGTGCAGCAGATAGAAACGTTAATACTTCTGCTCCATCATCTCCGTACAGATGGAGCGGCAGCTGTTGCTGCTGGACAGAGTTAGAAGTGTTGCGCAACCGGGACCAGAAAACCTTCCTCCATCACGGATGAACCTCTCATCTGCCTACTTCATGCCCTCTCCTCACCCCCGCGCTCTGTATGTTGGTGTTACACAAGCCGGCTAAAATCCCCTTATGTTAGCACACAAACACACACATAAACAATAATGAATCCCCGCTCACTAAGCACAGAGCGAACACTCTGGACAAACCTGATGTTAATCACAAACACAAAAGCTCCACACAAAGGCAGGGGGTTGTTCTCTCTAAATGTAGAGGAAGGGGAGAAACTGAGGACAAGGTTGAAAAGAAACTTTGGTGGTGGGGGGGGGCAGGGAAGGGGGGTTGCTTTCAGAATATTAAGAAGAGTTGGTGTGTGTGTGCGTGTGTGTGTACTTCATTTCGGGATTCCAAGCTGGTTGAACCAAGTCAGCCAAGTTGCTGTGGGGATGTCATAGAAACTCCAGAATGTTTTCCAGAGCCTGGTTGCCGCGGTAACGGCGTGGCGGGACACCCCGCCATGGTTCTACTCCACCTTCCACTCTTTTAAACCTGCAGATTTAGTCAAAA